GTGACAAGACTGGCAGGAAGGGCCAGCCTCCAAGGAGGTGAGGTTCCTGCGGGGCAGACAGGCAATGAGATAGAAGAGAGAACTTCCACGGCGCGAAGTAGCAGGAGAGAGGTGCGCAGGAAGAAGCCATAAAGAGAAGCTGGCACAGGGGAGGATTCCCATGGGTGGTTAGTTTGACTTGGTATGGTTTGGTTTGCTTTTTTTTTTTTTTTTCCCGGTACCGGGAATTGAACTCGCGACCTTGTGCTTGCCAGGCAGGCGCTGTGCCGCTGAGCTAAATCCCCAGCCCTGCTTTGCTTTTTGAGACAGGATCTTGCCGTGTAGTACAGGCTGTCCTTGCACTCAGCAATCCTCCTGCCTCAGCCTCCCAAGTGCTGGGGTCACGGGGCATCTGCTTCCACAGCCAGCCACATGGGGTGGTTAGGGAAGGCCTTTCTGGGGTGATGACATTTGAGCTGAGTCTCAAAAGAACCACTGCACTACAATGCGCAGGAAACTGAGTTTGAGGTGGAGGGAACAGCATTCTGGGGATGGGGAACAGCATTCTAGCAGAGGAAACTAATGCAAAGACGCTGAAGAAAGAAGGGTATACTACGTCTGATATGATTGGAAGGAAGCAAGGCGGAAGGAAGCGCAGGGGGGCTGAAGGCCCCGAATCCACTGCCCTTGGTGCTCTTGCTGCACCGGTTCTCTCACCCCTGCCCACACTTTCATCCTGCTATTTCAGGCCTACTTTTCTACAGCACCTGTGGCGGCAGCGCCACTCCTGAGTTCTACCGAGGCTTTAGCCCTGCCTGCAGGAAGGATGCCTTGGCCTTTAGCGGCTTCAAACTCGGGGCCCCCTCACCGCCCCTCTCTGCTTTCCCCACTGCTCCTGCTTCCACTCCACGTCCCTCGGGCCTCTCCCCTCTCCTCTCCCACCCCGCCTCGCTCACTCCAACTCCGGTCAGGGTGCTGCCCAGGGAGAGCCTCGTTTCCAACCGGGGTGCCTGGTGACCCGGAGACAGAAACCCTAGTTCAAGGACAGCTCTGCTAGTAAAAGCTCTGTGACCTCTGGCAAGTCAGTTTTCTTCTTCTCACTGGTCTTCAGTGAACCCCCAAATAAATTAGGGGTCGTATTCTGCCCAACTTCGGGGCCTTCGTGATACGGATCATCTGGAGAATCATGGCCGAAAGTGAGAGCGCCAGGCCCGACGGGCGCTCTGAGTGCACGAGCTGCCTTTAACCCTGGGGAGCCCTGTGAATCAGGTGTGCGCTCCTCGAACTCCCAGCTCCCACAGGAAGGAAGTGAGGGCCAGACCGGGGTAAGCAACTTCCCCAAGGTCGCACGGGAAGTAGGGAGGTTAGGATTTGAACCCGGACAGCGCGGCTCCCAAGTCTGTGCGCGCAACAGCTATAAGATGAACAGATTTAGAAGCGGCTGGGAGCGCGGAGCCGGCTGGAAAGAGCAACAGGCCCCTGGGCTAAGGTTCCCTCCCCGCAGGGCGTCTCACACGCGCTCCTCCCAGGCTCCCCCGCACCCAGCCTCCCAATGCTCCGAGCTCCGCAGGGAGACCCTTACACTTCTTGCATGTGGCAGCTTCTTCCCACCCTACCACCCGCTCCCAAATTTCCACTTTCCCTGAGCAGTGACTAACACCAAAGCCATCAGCATTCAGCGAGCCCCTCCCCCGCTCGCCACCCCCGCCTCCCCTCCCCCAGCTGTCCCAGCCCAGCAGCCCCAACCAGCGGGTCTCCGCACCTCTGGGCAGGGGCGCCCTACTCACTCAGGGGAGCGCTCCGCACCCTCCGCACCCCTCCCATCCCTCTCTCGAATTCTACCACAATTTTTTTTTTTCTTTTGGTACCGGGAATCGAACTCAGGACCTTGCGCTTGGCAGGCAGGCGCTGAGCTAAATCCCCAGCTCTACCACAATATCAACAGGGCCTTGCCCCAACTCACTCCCCTGTCTCTGGGGTCTGGAGTCAAGGGATCATCTTGCTGCAGGGGGTGCGGGTTCATATCTAAATTTCTCCCTTGTTAGCCCTGTGACCTTGGAGTTAAAGTTATTTAACCCCTCTGGGCTTAACTTTTCTCAAATATAAAATGAAGCAGCCTCTCAGTCCTAATGGGATTAGGACTATAGCTTGCTCTGCGAACTCCACAAGCGCAAGCAAGCCTGGTGAGGGAAAGGGATGCACAGGTGGCTGGCCTGGATTTGCATCTGCTCCCCCCACCCAGGTGACTTAGATCAAGTTACTGAACCCCTCTGGTGTCTTCAGCTATAAAATGAGATAATACCAGCACCAGCCTCATAGTTGTGAGGGTCAAGATGATTCATTCATTTATTTACTTATTTAGTGGGTTTTTTTTTTTTTTTTTTTTTTTTTTTTCTTTTTGTCTTTTGAGACAGGGTCTCTCTGTGCAGTTCAGGCTGGCCTTGAGCTCACTTTGTAGCCCAGGCTGGTCTTGAACTTGCAATGATCCTCCTGCCTCAGCCTCCCAAGTGCTGGGATTCCAGGCGTGCGCCACCAAGCCCCGCTGTATTTAGTGTTTTTGAGACAGGGTCTCACTACGTAGTTCAGGCTGGCCCTAAACTCGTGGCAGTCCTCCTCCCTCTGCCTCCTGAGTGCCAGGATTCTGGTGTGTACCACCAGGCCCAAGTCAATGATTTAATATGTATAAAATGCTCAGAACAGTGTTGGCTATTCACGTGTTTGTTATTTTCTTTGTGCCTGAGTATATAGGCGGTAAAGTTAAGAAACAAATCTAAATCAGATGTGATGGTGCATGCCTGGAATCCCAGCATTCTGGGAGGCAGGAGGATAAGGCCAGCCTGGGCAACTTAGCAAAACCCTGATTTAAAAAAAAAAAAGGGTGGGTAGGTGGGGACGTAACTCGGTCCAAAGGTCCTCCGTTCAATGTCCAGTACCACAAAAAACAAACAAATGAAAATAAACCTGCCAAATTCCCTCCGTCTACTATTAGCTCTTCCTTTCTTCTAACTTGCTAACCTGTTTCCCCAGAGAAGGCAGAGACACCACTCTCTCCAAGTTGGGTCCTCACCCCCAAATATAGGGGTCTCTCCAAAGACAGAGCTCTTTACGCCTAGTGTCAAGGGTTCTAGTTCAAAGCAAGTAAAGCAGAGACCCACCTTGATTTGGTAGATGGGAAACTCAGATTCCAGCCTGTTCCCCCCGTTTGCTTGATGACCTTGGACAAGTCCTTTCCCATCCTCTAAACCTCAGTTTCCTCATCTGTCAAATGGGGTAACAACCCCCGGGGTAACAACCAACAGGCACCTGGCACAGACCTGGTCCATCAGGACACCACACCGTGGCCACTGGCCAGGACCAGCACTTTGATTAACGTAACACCACAGGCCAGTCACACAGCAAATGGCCAGTTCTGCCTCCTCCGGCCCCAGGTCATTCTGCAATGCCCCAGCATCCTCCCTGCTCCCCCAAGCATTCTCACCGAGTTCCCTTCCCCAGGCCCTCAAAGACAGCTTCCCGTGCACCTCGGGGCTGCCCGCCCCCTCCCCAGCACCCTGGACTGCCTGGCGGGCCTCCTGGCAACCCGCCTCCTCCCGCCTGCCGACCTAGGCCCACACCAGCCTGCCCGGCTCGCTCAGCATGCCCTAGTTCCCCCAGCAGAGCGCGGTCCATGGCACACAACCCACTTCCATGCCTTGTCCGGAGCCTCCTCTCCCACCTCCGGGGTCCCTCATCTGGGCCTTGGGCCCCTGACAGTCCCCGGAGGCCACCCCTTCCCTCCCTTTCTGCGAGAAGCCCCCTCCTCACGGGGCGCCACATGCAAGTGCACACACGGGGGCTCGCACACTCACAGACGCACACTTTCATTCACTGCCGGTGCTGGCACTCGGTCTGAGCCTGTGTCCTTCCCCCCAGCATCCCCCAAATCTAGGTCCTGCCAGACTCCGGGCCTGCCTCAGTCACCAACCCCCATCCTTCTAATTTGGCGAATCTGTTCCCGGGATGACAGTATCCCCGCTCCTCCCCTGCAACTCCATCCTCGGGCTAGACCCCAGGGGCCTCCTCGGAGACCCCCGAGGGCGCGCCTGCCCCCTGTGTCTGAATGGACACCAACCTCTTCCAGCCGCCTTCCCAAAATACAGCTTCACGGGAGACGGAGACATCAGGCGCCTCCAGATGCTGAGGTGCCCCGGCTCTCAACCTGCAGCTTCATCTTTCGCCCCCACGTCCCAGCGCCTCCCCCACTCCATCCCCACGCGCTCCCCAAATCTTGGGGTCCCGCCCCCCACCTCTCCCACCCGGAGGCTCACACTCCGCAGCTCCTGAGTCCGATCCTTCATCCTGCGACGGCTCCTCCTCCTCCTCCTCGTCCTCCTGCCTCCGCCGCTGCTCCCTGCCTCCCACCGCGGTGCTGGAGGCCGGGGTCTGGGGGCGCCTAGGGGCGCCCGGGTCGCGAGGGGTCCTGCGGGCGGGGGCGACGGCGCGTGCCGGC